ACCAACCTTCCAATGTTTACAGCTAAGTGCTTCGGGATCCTGACTTACCATACCACTGAAGCACACGAACGCAGATATATCCTCCGAGCTAGAATAGCGGATACCACCAATACTGGCCTCACTGAGCCAACCCGTATCCCTCTCGAAGCCTTCTCAAGGAACCCGACGAGAATTTTGAGCCTGCAGAGTAGGGCCTGGTCACTACCATCCAGTTGCAATTCATCTATTAAAAAGAAGGCCAAAAGCAGCTGTTCAACGGTTAAACCGAGCTGAAATCAACGTTCTCCATGTAGAGGGGTGGCCAAGACCTCGGTTTCAAGTCGCCCACGGGAAGTGTCCGGATTTACTATAAGTGACACTGGCAACCTCAAAAAAAAAACAGTAATCCACTGGACTACCAGGACGTCTGATTCATTTGAAAGTGCTTCGGGATCCTGACTTACCATACCACTGAAGCACACGAACGCAGATATATCCTCCGAGCTAGAATAGCGGATACCACCAATACTGGCCTCACTGAGCCAACCCGTATCCCTCTCGAAGCCTTCTCAAGGAACCCGACGAGAATTTTGAGCCTGCAGAGTAGGGCCTGGTCACTACCATCCAGTTGCAATTCATCTATTAAAAAGAAGGCCAAAAGCAGCTGTTCAACGGTTAAACCGAGCTGAAATCAACGTTCTCCATGTAGAGGGGTGGCCAAGACCTCGGTTTCAAGTCGCCCACGGGAAGTGTCCGGATTTACTATAAGTGACACTGGCAACCTCAAAAAAAAAACAGTAATCCACTGGACTACCAGGACGTCTGAATTCATTTGAAAGACGTCCAAACTGTAACAGCCACATGACACCCAGTGTGACAATACACTATCGCGAATCTGCACGTCAATCCTGTGCTTTACAGACATTTCCTTATCTAAAACTTATGTGACTCTCCGGAACAATACGCTCACTGAGAATAGATTGACACTCATACGAGACCTACAACTGAGGATAACGCATACAAAAACACCGTCGTCTGCATTCCGCCAAACCTTGAGAGGAAGCTATAGGGAGGGTCAAGAACCAAGCACATTCGCTATTTACATAAGTCAATCCAGAAGAGATAGATTCTATGTAAGTAAAAGAGCTTATTATTCTAAGAGCTTTCCAGTGGGAATTCACTACCGAAACTGAGCAGCCTATTGTTGGGACACGTTCAGACTGATACGTACATGCGCAGAGAAGGGTCATCATTGGTCAATATACGATCCAGATAGCATGTGTGTGAGCTGAACTCACGAAACATGGCGTAGCAACAAGAGTGGGTATGAAATTGGTCAATATAGGAAAGTCGCCGTTGGTTGGACAAAAACAACCAAGCAACGACCATATTTGACCAGTCAACCATCGTATAGATTAACACACTAGCTCTGGATGTTGGACAGTAGAGCCATGTTTTTGATCTTCTATTTTCTCCTCATTGCGCTAGGCCCAATTCAGGCGTGCTCAAGATACAACACATATCTACTTCCGTATTGAGGGTAAATGACAAAACCTGAAAAACACCGCTTGCCATTGTGGGAGCGTCTAGACGTGTCACAAACGACAGCGGCTGCACACGTCCACGGCCAACACCGTCGGGATATAAGAGGCCCATGATTCCCAGAAAAGAAGCGCACTAATTCAAGAATGGAAGAGGTGAAAGAGAGAGAAAGATGTCATCAAGTCAGCTCGTTTCAGACGATCACATATCAGCTACCCGACCCACTGGGTTGGTGGCGCATCAACAATGGATACGTGCCGACATACTGGCGGTCAGATTGAACTTCTGGGTTCGGTTTAACTGACCCCTGATACCCATTAATCCGATAAAGGTTGATCAAACAGTGATATATACCTTGACCAGAGTTTGCCAACTCTTATAGTTGGCTCGAAATACACTCTCCCAATACTAACGTGATGCGGTCATGTGATGGGAGACCGACATAACACTGTTCCAAAAGTTAGTTCACCATGGCTGTCATTTCTCGAACCTGAGTAAATCTGATTGAACGTTTGAAATAACATATGAATACTATTCGTTTTCCTACTAAGTTTTTAATTAGCCCTTTATTGAGGAGCGTGCTCAAGGCTGTGTTACGAATGTTGACTGTCCTTTTTTAATCAAAAGCGAAATTCACACTAGTCAGAAAGCCGATAACACGATAACTTATGGGAGGACCGTATCTCCGTGAAGTAAATCGACAACGAAGACATCAAACACAACTGATCAATAAAGAACCTCGTATAGGGCAGGTGGCGATGCAGAGCCTATAACAAGTTACAATGCAACACGATCGAAAAATAATTTTGAGAATCCGGTTCAAGGCTGCTGGCTAATCATTTCAACAGTCCACAGTGCACAACTAAAAGTTAACATAAGCCAAAGGCATCCTTTCAGCAAGTTCCACCTGTTTTAGTCAGCACTGCAAACAAACAATGACCGCCTAACAGAAGCTACTAACTAACCAATCAGGAGGCGGACCGATCGCACTCATGCGAATTCGAACAGGCAATGCAGGGTGAGAAACAGAGTTACCTAAGATCACGTGTACATTAATAAAGAAGCAATGATTTTGCTTAATACAGTGATGGTTTACAGAAGTGAACCAAATCCTTTTTTGATCGATTGCAGAGGTCAAGACATTCTGCGCTTTGATTCTAGCGCGAAAACGAGACCTATGTCAACATTCAACTGACTGGGGAGTGCATCCAAGAGCAATAAAGATATCGACCATATTCGATTGCGAATATAAAAACTTAAAGTTCGTCATAACTCCAGGTAAAACCGTGCCAGTCATAAAATTTCAACCCAAAGTGCACATGAAAAACTTTGGTTCCTTGGCACTCTTGGGCACGTCAGGGTTGATAATCATGGAATAGAATAACCAGATTATTGTGGAAAAATAAATCTTATGTCGAACACCAAGGGACAGCGGACAAGCTAGTTTGACCAGGCACTAGTAAAACCAACTGCTTTTCGTCCTCCCTGTTTCTAGTGATTATCGTTCCTAAAGCAAAGATACAATGCCCAATGGACAATGAGTGGATAAATGGTTCCCATTGGATTCACAACGAACCAATACCAACTAAGTTTTGAACAAAAAGCTCACACCAAACTGCATCGCATGTTGACGATAGAATGATCGTGTAAAAGGGATGGAGCAGACAGCAAGAGTGCATTTCTACACAGCAAATCACAGAACCCAAGCACTATTGTGCCAGGCTCAACAGTTTCAAATGTGTCCGGATCAAATTGGTCAGATAGGTGATCATCAGGAGGTCCTTGTAACTCGAATTGATCAAAGCGTCTAAATGTGCCGGGTCCAGCTTCGGTATGGATAAAATCAACTGGGTGATGGCACGCCCGATCGTAGGGTCTGCTGATCGCTTCCCGTTCAACACATCATCGACGTATGTGATGACTTGTTCCAGCATCGAAATAACGTTTTGAGACAAGTGAAATAGATGTAGCATGTCATCCCCAAGCTGCGAAAGATAAAACAGTGGCGAACGTGTGAGCAAGAAAATAGGTCGAAAGTTTCCGGAGCACAAAAGAACGAACAAAAAGTGCTTAACGAATTTAAATAGTGATTTTCGAATTAAAATCGTATTGTGAATAGTCCGAGAACTGTTGTACCAGCGAAATACCCTTTCTGACTGAGCAATGAGGCTTTGTCTGTGCAACAAACTTAGTTACAGATTAGCACAGACTGGAAATTTAGTTACCCATTGTTAGAAAACGATTTGCTCAATTTGGTTACCAAGCATGAAATAAGATTGAGAATTCCAAGCCTACGCCTTATTTTGCGAGCAATAAAAAGAGTGAAAGCGAGCTGTTCAAGCATTGACCACAAGAACGCCTGTTTCCTCTAACAAAAAAAAACAGAAAGAAAGTAGAAAATATCGGCGAATGATAAATTTCCGGACTACCGTTGCCCGATTTCCCTGCGGACATCAGTGGACGACTGAGATAATCATTCACCAGTGAAAATGTCCCTCGTGGAGTTGGCTACATAATCTGGGTTGATATCCTTCACTTTCAACAGTGTATGGAGGTGCACCTAAGCCCACGAAGTAGACGCCCTTTACATTGCTAAAACCTAAATGTGAATGTTCGATTCTACTTCCGCTCAAAAGTACCAGTGTTGTTACAAGAAACACAGTAATGACCTTTTTGGAAGAATCACTCAAACATGTTCGCATCCTCCTTACTGTGGGGTGTACCACACTGTTTGTAACAGTTCGGTGGAGAAATACAGATATATCCATTAGCAGCTTTTGACCTTAAGTCGGAGTGTGGAAAGGAATAGTCTGGGGAGAAGGGTTTTGTAAATTCGGAAAAGCGACCACCACAGATTCACACTTACTGCGAAGACAGCCGGTCGTAGGAAGCTTCAAACTAACATCTAAGCATGCGCAGTTCCCAGCTGCACACCAGCCGTGGGACAATGATCTAAGTTTGCGCCTTACGGAGGTTAATCTCGCGAGATCCGACTGGTACAAAGCGCCCTATCTGTTCAAGATATTCACCAACTAAATATGATACACAAAAGTCGTCTTAGGCTTCATCTAGTACGATATTCGAGACACCACATTACTTCTTGATGGAAACTCGGGGATTGTATCTACCTGGTAGGCCCCAACACGAGTAGAATTGGTCATGGGTTGTTGAAGAGCCCTCAAGTGCACAATAATCTGGATCAAATTGCCACGTTTCAAGAGGACACACACATGCGAGTGAAAACCCAAGCATATTCTCCAGTGGGATAAGACATGTATGGCTTATAAAAAGCATGGATGATATGATAAAAGTGCGTACACTGATCTAAGCCAATTTTGCTCTGCTCGGGATTCAGGTAAACGCAGTCTGAGGTAAACTGATAGGGCAGTTCTCACTCTGAGAACCAATTTGTAACTGAGCACTTAATTGAAGCAGGTGTTCCGGATCAAACCAAATGCTAAACGGTGACCACAACTCACTTCTGGCTGCAACTGACATTTGGGGTTGATAGCTGATGCCATCATTTCTACTGCGCACCGTTCAGCAGCGTAGAACTCAATTTCCACTTCCAGCGGTACAAAGACAATACCTCTTGTCCCACCAGGGATACCAAGTGGTCGGCTAAGATAGGCTTTGATTCCCAGTTTGTCGCCGACAGATAAGCTAACGTCCACCAATAGGAATAATACCTCCGAGTTTGTCGACTGCATATAGTAAACTTGATGAATGAGTTTGAAGTACTCGGTTATTTCACTCCCGGTCGCATACCAACCGACCATCCTCTGATTACGATTGACCTAAACAGCAGCATTATTTCGGTATATATAAGCGACTTACCATTCTTTCCAACTGGCTCATGCTCTTGCGCAGTTCGAGGTCCATCAGCACAATGGCATCGGATTCGGCATAGAGAACACCAAAACAATTAGTAACCTCCGTCATCCCTTTGTGAACGGAGCCTGTACACGGTAAAATGAACAAGCAGAACTAACCCAGTAGTGTTCCAATAACCGTTTCAGTGCCCTCATTCCGTCTTTCATAGGCATCCACAATTGACGCTAAGACTACTGGATGGATACGCACGGTTGCGCCGGACTCCATATTGTTCTAGTCAACAAATATAACCTGGAAAAACAACAACAGGAAGCGACACACCTAAAACCGAGAAGTGGATAATGTTGAGAAAACAGAGAAATCATATTCATATCACAAAACCCTATGACAGTGTCGATGAAATTCAACTAGATAGAAAATAAAACGATTCATTCTAATCCTGTAAGTTCAGAAACCACGTAGGTGTTGCAAAATTGGTTTCTGGTTGTAGTCACTTTGTCAAGCTGACAAAATGACACCAGCCAATGAGATAACGTGTGTGCATGGTTTTTAGCGTCAAGTGATGATACTTAGTCGATGAGAAAAACCTGGCATTGTAGTAATGCCAAGCAGTCATCAGACTATACCGCAACCGAATGTACCATACGATGCCCGTAGGTCATTTCCAGTCCAGGTTTGCAGCACTCCTACATAACAGGCTGTTAGGACAGTCAGCTCATGACGAGCAATTCGACCTTTTGTATTAAGTGAACCTTCATTTTCTCTCTGTTGTAGTCAACTGAGCCACAACGCGCTTTCTTCCATTGGTTCATATGCAATACAGCTGATCTTCATCCGGTGTCCTTTGTCTTCTTCCTAGAGGTTTTCCCACTCAAGTAAAAAAAAAAAAGATAAAGCGTTCAGCTGTAGCACCCTTCCGGTGCCTAGCTGCCATGCCACCCGAAAGAAGCACGAGGGCTGGGATACTGCCAGGTTGCCCAAGCCTAGACAAGTACTAGATTATCAAACGTGATGGAACGAATTCCCTCAAGCTCCCAAATCACCCAACTAGCACACAAACAAAACACAGTCAAGCCAGTGCACAACACAAACTTGCCATAAATTGATGATGTATAGGACTAAATTTCAAAATCAAAGACGAGAGCAGTAAAAGAGATACCACCTTGGTGTATTGGTCGAGCTTGGGCGTTGCCATAGCCCAAGGGGCTTGAGAGCTAAACTATGCTAATAGGCTACAAGGAAAACAGATTAAGAGCAGATCCTACCAAGGAAACATTTTCAGAGCCACAAGACTTCCATCAAATTCACCTCAGGGACACAGATCCCGGGGGCGGAACGGCATACATTACCTGGTCCTGCCAACAAAAAAATCAAGCAACAAACAGTTCAGCTATAGCAGCCTTTCGGTATCTAACTGCCATTCCACCCGAAGGAAGCACGAGGGCTAAGATATTGCCAGTTGCCCAAGCCTCGACAGGGGAAGTCAATATGCAGAGGTCGGTTTCGAACCACAGACCTCCTGGGCGGTAGATTCGCGCTCTAACCACTGAGCCATTAGAAGAGCTCGTGAAATAATAACTTGATTTTTACTACAAGACATCCTTCAGGAATGTCGTGGGGGGAACCGAACTTCCTGTGGACTGTTTTTGCACACCACCAAAGACCACAGACCCGGTCAACAGAGGAGCACTACACACTGTCCTAAGAAACCTCAGATGTCTGAATAGGTTTGCCAACCTTGACAACGCGTTTCTCATCTGGGTGAAAACCTGTGCGCAAATATACTGACTAAAATTAGCGATTTCGTGGTTCCCCCAATGACTAGTTTCTTCCCTGAGAGCATAGTCCACGCCCCATGATGGTGTTCTAGATTGAGTGACGGACCATCACTTTGTACAGTTCACCATAAACACAGCTGATACACTGACCGTCGCAGCATGAATTTCTCTTGGCCGGACTTGGCCTGGCTAATAATTTAGGGACACAAACTTACACAGCACCATCAGCTGGAAGAATTCGTTGTTACGAAATGGAAACTCAACAACAAAATAATTATCGAGTTGCCGGTAATGCTTATTGTTTTCTTCGTCACAGAGAATACGCTTTTTATCATAGGTCGTTGCGCTTGGTGGTTCTTATTCACTTTTGGACGAAAACAAACAAACTAGTGGGAATAATATGGCCCAAAGAAAGACACTGACGAACACTGTGCATGTTCACCATGTTGCGTTAAGGCAGTAAATCCTCCAGACGAAGTAGAAGGCTCTTTCGCTCCTCAGTATTTTAATATTGAGGATGTTTTCTTGAGGTGAGGGTACTGTACTATCATCTACGATGAGAATCAAAAGGAACAGACAGTACATGGAGTTATGATAAAGGTGTGTATCTTTTTGGAATAACCAGAGGCTCAAAAACGAGTATTGCTTAACCATCCCGAATGCAAGATTCAAGTACAGTAGTTCAGCCTAAAGAGCCTCTCTATCTAGAGCCATCTGCCATGAATATCGAGTGGTGATGAGCTCGAGATGTGTAGGTGGTTAGGGCACGAACTTACCTACCAGAATGTCCGAAGTTCGAACCAGACCTACACATCTCGACTTATCCTGTCTAGGATTGGACAACCCGGCAGTACCTCGGTCCTTATGCTTCCCTCAAATAGCATGGCAACTAGGCATGGTAACAGGTGCTACAGCTGAACCATTTCGAGTGGCAATGCAGCGCCAATGTCCGTACAGTTTTCAGCTTGTGAAGTGATACTTCATTACTCAGCCCATCACCATCATCACTGACAGCAACACTAAGTGAGAAAACTGGTGCTTTACTGCCACACAACCATGTTAATTTATCTGAAGAAAGCCTTATGACAGAAAAAAGAACATGTGAAAGGGAAGGAGACCTAGGGATAGCCTGAAACAAACAGTGACAGTATAACTGCCCTGAATCTGAAGGGACGTGTGTGTCAAGCTAGAGTACGGGCTGTTTTGTTGTATGGCTGTAAGACTTGGCTTATTCGAGCAGCGGAACTGAGACGTCTTCAGGTGTTCGGCAATCGTTGTCTCAGAACCATAGCTCGTGTAAGTTGGTGTCGGCGAATCCGTAACGAGGCAGTTAGAAAGCGTGTTTTCGGTTGTGTAACGGGTACTTCCATTGAAGAATGTG